GTAAATGTATGAGAGTTTGATAGTATATGTGAGAGTGTTTGATAGTATATGTAAGAGTTTGATAGTAAATGTAAGAGAGTTTGATAGTATATGTGAGAGAGTTTGATAGTATATGTGAGAGAGTTTGATAGTAAATGCAAGAGAGTTTGATAGTATATGTGAGAGAGTTTGGTAGTAAATGTGAGAGAGTTTGATAGTATATGTGAGAGTGTTTGATAGTATATGTAAGAGTTTGATAGTAAATGTAAGAGAGTTTGATAGTATATGTGAGAGAGTTGTAAATGCAAGAGAGTTTGATAGTATGTGTAAGAGTTTGATAGTATGTGTGAGAGTTTGATAGTATATGTGAGAGAGTTTGATAGTAAATGTAAGAGAGTTTGATAGTAAATATAAGAGAGTTTGATAGTATATGTGAGAGAGTTGTAAATGCAAGAGTGTTTGATAGTATGTGTCAGAGTTTGATAGTATGTGTGAGAGTTTGATAGTATATGTGAGAGAGTTTGGTAGTAAATGTAAGAGAGTTTGATAGTAAATGCGAGAGATTTTGATAGTATGTGTGAGAGTTTGATAGTATATGTGAGAGAGTTTGATAGTAAATGTAAGAGAGTTTGATAGTATAGGTGAGAGAGTTTGATAGTATATATGAGAGAGTTTGATAGTAAATGCAAGAGAGTTTGATAGTATATGTGAGAGAGTTTGATAGTAAATGTGAGAGAGTTTGATAGTATATGTGAGAGAGTTTTATAGTAAATGCAAGAGAGTTTGATAGTATATGTGAGAGAGTTTGATAGTAAATGTAAGAGAGTTTGATAGTAACTGTGAGAGTTTGATAGTAAATGTAAGAGAGTTTGATAGTAAATGTAAGAGAGTTTGATAGTAAATGTAAGAGAGTTTGATAGTATGTGTGAGAGGGTTTGACAGTACATGTGAGAGCAAGTTTGAATTATGTCCTAAAGGGCCTCTCATATAAGTCAGTTATATAACCACTCAAAGCTACCACAACAACAAATTTGGCTTTAATATCTGTAAAATYGACTGAGTTACAGCCCTCATTCAAACAATTCCAACTTTGCAGCAATAATAACCATCCAACAATTGTTTACCTGCATCTGTTCTTGGGCACCTATCAGGTAAAAACACAAAGTACATTTTYCCTCTGTTTCAGGATAGATTATACATTTGTTGTTTTGCTGAAACTCTTGCTTCCCCTGCTTTCTGCTCTTGTGCCAATCTGGGCTGACTGCCTCCACAGCCTCAGCTCTGTACTTAAAGCAAAAATGTTCCTCAGACCCCCCACAGACGTGTGAGCGCAATCAGCTCCAACTGTGAAAGAGAAAGGATCACAAATGAATATGTTCACCGTTTTCTCATTGATCCCTCCCTTCAGTTTATCATTGTGATACACAGATGGTTAGAATGAAGAGCAAAGAAGCAGRATCTCAGAAGAATTCGTATGAACGGAGCAATTAGAAACTATACAAGACCGGAGGCCTAAAATGGCACTGCTTGTTTGCTGTCTTTCAAATTTGTTCATTTATTTTAAGATTACATAGCTTTAAAATGACACTTGCACAGTTTACACCATGATAATATCAATGCAATCAACTAACCGATATTGTATTAAATTGGAACTATTAAGATGAAAAACAGATTTTCTCAACCGAATTTATTAAGGTTTGTTGTTCAGTAAAGATGGCTGCTGCAGGTTCTGCTCATTTTAAATAGGCTAAGTGCCAGTGACATGCATGACCTTCAAATGCAAAAAGTAAAAGAAAACATCTTTATATTTAAAATTGGAACAATACATGTGACTTTACTTTCTTTTGAACTGGGCTCAGCCAAAAATAAACAGGAAGTGACATCAAAGGGGAACTCTTTAAGAAGGGGGACTTCCTGGTCTTTGTTTATTGAAACAGTATTATTTGAACTTGGACTCCTCTTTGTCTCTTACTGATAGTGACTCAGTTTGATCTAAAGCAATGTTAGATTCTTCTCTACAGTCTGTTGTACCAACGCTTTGTTCACATTCAGACATTTTTTTTTATCACTTCCTGTTGTTACACATTTAAATATCTCAACTTCTCATCTCAGCAGCATGGATTTTTATTTTTTGCAAGATGCTATAATGGTATCTTTCTAATTCATATTTGTTGCAAAAGTTTGATGCCACGGGCACTTTAAATCATGCATAAAGAGAAACAAAACAACAACACAAAACAACAGTTTCCTCATTTATATTACTATTTGTGGAGCAGGAAATGGATTTTCAGTGAATGCCATGCCACAGTCCTGTCTTTTCAAGCTGTATGTGTGTTTATGTATGTCAAACAGGCGGTAGTAAAAATGCTTTATGGCACCCTATGAAACACTGACCTTTACAGAAAACCACTGATCTGTTCAAAACAAAGTGATATACTGTGTGCATGTTGGTTCGCAAACGCATGTGCACATTCATGCTTTCCTGTGCGTGCACATGATGTACAATCAGAGACATTCCATCCCACCAGCCGTCATTAACGCTGATGTACAGCCAAATATCGTTATGTATGGTTGACTGCATGATTTACTGTTAGGGACATAATGGAGTAGCCACTGTAATGAACTTGTGGAGTGTTTGATGTGCGGGACTCTGCTGGAGGGAGAGAAGTAAATACTACAACTGTGATGGCAGCGATTACAGTGGTGATGGGGATGAAATTTGTCTCCTCGCTTACAAAACAAGAGGCATTTGTGGAGGGAGGGGAGGAGGAGAACGCAGGAGGAGGCGCAGAAAGCAGTTCTGAGTCGATTAAAAGGAATCAGGTGAAGCAAGGGAATTACAGAATGCCAACTTTGATGTGTTGGCAGAAAGAACACGGCCGAAAGGAAACAGTGACGATGACACTGATGGTGAAGTTTGCCTAGACTTTCATGATCCTTTTATTATTGAAATGTGTCAAGTAGGTCAGAACTCTGCACGGGTTTAAGTTTGTGCACCTGATGTGGAGGTAAAAAAGGAGGAGACCGCAAGCATGGAGAAAAAGGAAACGTGTGGCCAAAGGTCATCATTTCTGCAGATAATGAAATACAGAAGGGTAAGAAATGAGTTCATAAAGAAAAAGATCAAAAGCCCAAGTTAAAAAAAGGAAAATATAACATTTTTTCACTGTGGCACAACAGTAGCTAAAAGTCATGTCCTTTTTCTTTATGTTTTTGGGTTTACTCCCCACAGCTTTTGATTTCCCATAAAACATGCATCTAGTGAAATTGTCTTTATTTCTATCATCACTTTCTACATTCCATAGAGACATGACTGCAATTTCAGATTTTTCTTTTTCCTCCCTCAAAACAGCGAAGGGTTTATTGTCAGGATCACAGTCTGACTTTGCCCCCTATTGGTGTAAAGCTTTAACTGCCTTCTTGATGAATTTTGCCGCCATGCTCAACAGGAATTATTATAAAACTGGATGCTTTAAAGGATGGAATTACTAAAGTTTGAACAATAACCTCATGTTTAAGTCATACCAAGCCAAACTCTGGGAAATTTAACAGTTTGGGGGGGGGGGGGGGG